CGTCGACGTCACCAGCTGGCGCCACGGTAGCGTGTGCTGTACGGCCCCGGCTAGGAAGGCAGTCAGGCCAGCTTCGCGAGGCCAAATTGCAGCAGTGTTTTGGCGTTTGAAGAGTAAACTAACGCTCTGTAATTTAGCTCATGTTTCGTAAATGATTGCCGCTGCACACAAGAATTACCAGACCAACATGGTTAAGATTATTCAAATCAACGTCTCCCGTGGGGGAACGAATGCCGCGGACTTCAGGAGCTCTATTTCGGTTAATTACCGCTTCGTATTTTGATGCTTGTACATTAAATGAAGGTACGTAAACGTGTAATCGATCATTGAAACTGCCGTACGGTCAAGAAGTGATGTTCGAGGCGCGGATTAAAAGGCTGCTGTGTTTAAGAGATGTATGCAATCACTCAGCGATCACTTTATGGCAAACATTAAGCAAACACGATTACCTAAACGCGGAAAGTCTGGGGGGTCTCAGGGGGTCTCGGACCCCCCACTGATTTTAAAGGATGGTCTCGGACCCTCCTTCACAGTTCTAGCATTAGTGAAGTAAGAATCATATCTTGCAATAAAATAGCTTTGTTTTCAGCGATGTAACATTTAATTGGGAATTAGCAATTTGAGGGTTGCAGGTGCAGCGTTGGTAGAGTCAGCACTGGGGTTTATTTAATGTGCATCTAGTACGGGGGTGGCCAAGGTGCGGCTCGCGAGCCTCATGCGGCTCTTCGCGTGTTAAAGTGCGGCTCGCGGCTCTCTCCTCTCGTCCCCCCCCCCCCTTCCCCTCACTCACCCCCCCCGCCTCCCTCCCGGTCACACGAGCACCTCCCAAAAAACAGAGAAATGGAAAACATTTTAAATCGAAAGACGGGTTGCTGTTTGGTAGTGTTGTGCTACTGCTACCTTACTACGTACAGTTGGACCGCCTTCGACTCGGATATATTCAAAGTAGTTCGAGTTTCGTTTATTGTTCTGAATAAAAGTTTGCCCCCCTTCCCTCCCCCCCCCCCCCCCCCCCCCCCCTCCCTGCGGCTCTTGGAAGTTTTGTGGCTTTGTTCGCGGCTCTTAGGCCGGGGTCAGCCTGGCCACCCCCTGAATTCTTGTACATCTCGTCAAACCCCCCCCCCCCCCCCCCCCCCCCCCCCCCAGCCTGGCCACCCCTGAATTCTAGTACATCTCGTCAACCCCCCCCCCCCCCCCCCCCCCCCCCCCCCCCCATCCCATCCCTCTTGTAGGGACCCCCCCCTCAACTTAAGGGAGTTAAGCACTGGCAAGAACCATGTGAACGCTTCGTCACAATCATGCATGTTTATCGATACGTGCGCTCTATTCTTTGCACGCTTTATGAACACAGATGAATGCAGGACACCTTGGCAAAACACAATTTTTTTTAATTCGCATAAGGCAACTTTGCTTCGCTTAGCTACAGCCCATTCTCAAATGGCTCAAGAGCACACTATGCTCTTCTGTTTGTGCAACACTAGAATACTCCACAGGCTCCCTCGTAGGCCATTGTGTAAGTCGCGTTACACTATCAGAGTACTAAAGAGTTGATAAAAAAAAAGAGGATACTAAAAAGGAGCCGTAGGTACTAGCATCGTTTCCGCTGTTCACGGCCTGTAGAAGCACTACGAGCACTTACTCACCTTGGAATGGAGCTTCTTTTTTCTACGTGCTTCTCGAGACTCATTGACACCCTTGACATAAAAATGTAGCCTAGTCAAGACATAAAACTTCAAGATACTGTCTGTAAGCACGTCAGAGTGCTGGTTGCAGCCTACACCACAGGAAAGTTGAGCTTTTCCAAGCAGCATGACATCAACTACACTGTTACTGCACAGCTTTTCCTGGCTGAAGAAAGTGGTGAACAAGTTTTCCAATTTCCTCACTATCAAAAAGAGCACACGCGATGGGTAAAGTAACCCTCCTCTGTCACAAATAACAGTGAATTCACTGTCCTGGCCTTTCTCATTTGGTGCTTGCAGAAGCAGGTGCTTGCACTCCCCACAGTCAGTGCGTGCAATAAATTTGCGCTCTACGTAACCTGCCATATAGTGGATCAAGCGATCATCACTTTTCTCTACCACAAAACCACCATGCTCAGAAGAAATGCGATGCAATTTCCTTTCCGCTAACGCCAGGTTACCCGACTCAATAAATTGGTCGACATCGGCCTCTGCAGTGTGAGCGTCACAAGCATCCAGCAAAGAACTAACTAGCTCATTTGTGTCAGCATTGCCTGAGCTTACTCTGTTAGCCAGATTGTAAAATGAAAGGCAATTTACGACAATCAAAAACTGTGTGGGTGTAGGGTGGTCGTTGGATCCGCAAGATTGCCTTACAATGCCAAAAAAATTGTTTAGTGGATCCTGACTTAGGCGTGACGTCATCAGGTACTTAAAGCCTTGTGTGCCAAGGTACTCTAATAGTGCCAGGGTGCTAGAAAGTGTGACCCTGAGGCCATCGGCCGTTGAGACACTCAAGAATCCGCCTTCCCCGTTTGCATGCGATTCCCAGTGTGAGAGAAATTCAAGGAAGACCTTGATGCTCTGTGCACTCTTGGAACCTGGACGCAAAGCTTGTGCTGTGTATCGGGACGTCATTGTCCTGATGAGGCAATTGACAGCTCTGAAACAAAAAAACAACAACAGACTTTAGTGCACTAATAACCAGATTATGACTGTCGTAATGCATCATCAAAGTAGAAAAAAGCATGGATGGAATTTTGCAGAAAATGAGAAATTAATGCAGCTAACTTGTTAGACAGCCCTCCACGAAGGTTGTTATTGTCAGCACTATTTCTTTATGCTTCTGAGGCCATTTATCTACAAAAGAACCAGTGATGTTTTTAAGAGGCGCTTACCTGAAAAACGAAATTGTTGCGTCAATGTTGCCCCAAGAGGATTCCAAGTCATCCTTGTAGAAGTGTAGGTCGTTGATAACGCGGTTCCCAAAAAGTTGGAATGCGAATGTGACCCTCATCTTCTCAAACCCATTTGGATGTAGGTGCACGGACGTCAAGCCAGGCATTGCCTTCAGAGTGAGATTGCTACAGTCGAGCTTGAAGGCCTGTCTTACAGGCTGGATGGAAACCTGAAACAGTTACAACAATGCAAAGCATTTGGCTTAGCTTTTTAAAACAAAGAGTTATATTGAGCAGTCAAAAATACAAAGTGCTAGACGACAGCTTTTATGAGATTTGGTGGCACAGGTGCACTTCACCATGTTTCGACACTTACCATACCACTTGGAGTGTTCAGTGGACCTTTGAGAAGAGAGTTCCTCAGGCATTTCAATAAATGTGGGAAATCCGATAAGAAAAACAACTGCCGGGATGGATCCACAGGGTGTTCACGGCTGCACGTAATTTGGCCTTTCTTCACGCCAATCCCTAAAATATTCCACATTCGGCGGTTCCACGACGCACCATCACACGTGATGAAGTCTACGAGTAGTCCACTGGCCTCGGCAAGAATGGTAGCTTCTATAAGTATCTTAGCAAGCATTTCAGCCTTGACGTTGCCCCTAGTAGCAAATGCACCAATAACCTGCGTCCAGTTGCCAGTAAATGACACAAACATTACGATCATGCCGTGGTCACAAGGAACGTCCTGTTCTTCAGCTGTAAAATGGCCCAAGTCCACAAATCCTTCAATACGGCCAGAAGATGTTACATTCAGGTGCTCCGACAACTTAACCTCATCAACCAAAAGGCCGCCGCGTAGCTTGAAGCTGCTGATATGTCGTGTCCTTTTTTTCAGTTGGCTTAGCACTTTGTGACTGAACCCAAAAGCTGTTTTGTATGTTTGCAGGTAGCGCTTTAGTGTGCTCTTGCTTGGCAGGGAGATAATGTTGTGGCTCCGGAGGTGCTCATATAGCTTTGCACTCTTCATCTTCATTAGGATACACTCCAAGATCCAAGCCTTTGTGTATTTGTTCCCCTTGCTGCTCTTCTTTTTCGCTGCTGAAAAGCATTGCCGCACACATTCTTTGCTGTTTCGGGTTGAGAGCTGATATCTCCGCCTCAAGTACCTCTTCTGGCTTGGAGGCGTTCTCTTCTTGCATCTTGCAAAGCTGCTTTTTCAGGTTACCAACTCGTGATGACAGCCTCTTGTTTTTCCGACGTGCTAAACGCAGCTTCTGAGCTGCACTCAGCAAATTCCTACTGGTTGATCGCTTCAACCTTGAGCGCCGTGTCAGCAGGGCCTTTCTGGTGTAACGACACGACACACACACTTGTCCTGAAAAGCACAGAAAAATTGAACAAAAATTATTGGCCATAGCTTCGGTGTTGAGCAATCCACATTGCACTGTGCCTAACTTCGAAGCAAAGTAGGCATATTGACCGTTGTAAGTTGGCTAAGGGTGAACGACTAGCCCCACATTGCGTGCCGAAGGCTTCGAAATGCGGGACGTATACGAGCGCCACGCACACATATTGGAGCATGACGCAGCGAAAAGCCTGATACTTCTTCGGAGTTTAGGCGCGCTCCGGTGATACGCAGTAACGTTCCGATTGGACCGCCGGGGCCGTAGCTTCCGCTCTACTGGCACGCTAAGCGATCACGGCTTCCTGGGATACCCAGTATTTCTTGCTTCAGACACTAGGCTAAGCGGCGCCACCTGAGTAAAATATCACGTTTGAACAATGCAGCCGCCACTCCCAGGGGTACCCAATATTTCTTGCTTCAGTCGCTAGTTGGCACCAAACCAAACAGCACTGCAGGTTGCCTATAAACCCATGTTGTTGTTACTATTCGGCTGGCGTCCCCCTTCTAAGACACAACTTCTTGGCGACGAGGATGGTGACGCAGACTGACGAGCACTTTCACAGGGACCGTTAAGAAGGAGACTCAACCAAGCGTGCAAGAAGGACCACGGAGTATCGACTCGGAAGCATCCAGGATGGCTACGATTGGGCAAGTGGAACCTTTCGATGAATCTCAGTCAGATTGGGAGACATACGAAGAAATGATTAACGCATTTCTGCGAGTGAATAATATTTGAGACGCCAACAAAGTAAACGCCTCCCTGAGTATCTTGGGTCCGAAGACGTACAAGTTGTTGAAGAGTTTGACCGCCCGAGCACACCGGTCAGTCAGCCTTTGGTATCTACACAAAGCATTACGGGAGCATCTTTCGCCCAGGCCATCAGTTATGGCGGAAAAAGCAAAGTTTCACCGGAAAACGCAACAAGAGACCGAGAGCATCGCGGAGTTCGTGGCTAGCCTCAGGCGATCGGCAGAAACATACAACTTCGGTGCGAACCTGGAAGAAACGTTGAGAGACAGATTCGTATGTGGGTTAGCCCGGACTGAAATCCAGAAGAAGTTTTTCGTTGAGGATGCGTCTCTGGACGTTCAAAAAGGCGGTAGAAATCGCATTATCAGTAGAGGCGGCAACCAAGAACGTGACATAGTGCCGACCTAGCAGGGCAGCCCAGGAGGACTTCCACACGTTTTCTGCAGAGGGAGGCCGGGCGCGAGACGGTTCGCTGTGCACGCGGTGCGGCTTGCGTCATCACAACCGTGCTTGCCGATTCCGAGCAGCGACGTGTTTTAGATGCCACTGAGTGGGTTATATTCAGAAAGTGTGCCACTCTCAACCGATGTCTAGTTCCCACCTTCCTAGAGCGTCCCGACAAGACACACCGCGAAAAGACTCCCGGAGGCAAAACTTCGGCGTGTTCGAAACCGAGGAGGACGTCGAGCCACTGCTTCAGACAACGCTAGAGAAACAGCGTTTTGGACGCTTTACTTTACGATGCGTGTTCAGGGAGTGCCGCTTAAAATGGAACTGGCGCTGGAGCAGCAGTATCGGTGACGCCGCACCGGCTGTTTCGGCGGTTGTGTTTTCCGCAGATGAAGTTACGGCCAGTTTTAGAAGAGTAGTAAGTTGGGCGAGTTGGTAAACGTTGAACATGGTTAAAATCGCGCACAAAGAGACGAGGGAGGAACACAGAACACAGACAGGCGCGCACTCACAACTGTAGTATATTAAGTGAAGAAGAGAAAGATGAATATTTATAGACTTGAGCGTGTTGGTAATGTACATTGAATTAAAACGAAAGAAACACACAAGAGGACGAAACAGACGACACTATTTTTTACAGGGGACAACGTCACCAGGGTGAAAAACAGATCATCCGCAGTCAAATGATCGCAAGAAGGCAACTTCTTTTTCGCTCAAAGCAACCGACGGCTGGCTAACGCAGCGATCAGTCAGGCTCAAGATGGTGACCGCCTCGAGCACCTCGCGCGTTTGTTTGTCTTTAAAGCGGCCAATGATTGATGTTTTTTCTAAAGATGGTGTGCACATACAGGTTTTACAGTGCACCGAAAGGTGACCTCCTACATTGGATGTTAAAGAAAGTTCATGCTCTCGTAGCCGTTCATTCAGACACCGTCCCGTCTGTCCAACATAGCATCTTCCACATGAAAGAGGAATGCTATATACAACGCCCGATGAACAGGGAACAAATGGCCGCACATGTTTTTTGTGGCACGTGTTTTTTGATAATTTTTCCGCCTTTTCACGAACCTTAGAACAAATTTGTCGCATTTTCTTAGGGGCTGATAGTACTACGGGCACACCATACCTGCTGGCCACTTGGTTTAGGTTATGCGAAATTTCGTGTAGGTATGGCATAACCATCACGCGGTTTTTTTCTACGGGGCGCCTAGTTTTTCACCTCCTGATAGGAGCCCTGGTAAAGAATGCAAAAGGAGGTGAAAAAACTAGGCGCCCCGTAGAAAAAAAAAACCGGGTGGTGGTTATGCCATACCTACACAAAATTTCGCATAACCTAAAACAAGTGGCCAGCAGGTATGGTGCGCCCGTAGTACTATCAGCCCCTAAGAAAATGCGACAAATTTGTTCTAAGGTTCGTGAAAAGGCGGAAAAATTATCAAAAAACACGTGCCACAAAAAACATGTGCGGCCATTTGTTCCCTGTTCATCGGGCGTTGTATATAGCATTCCTCTTTCATGTGGAAGATGCTATGTTGGACAGACGGGACGGTGTCTGAATGAACGGCTACGAGAGCATAAACTTTCTTTAACATCCAATGTAGGAGGTCACCTTTCGGTGCACTGTAAAACCTGTATGTGCACACCATCTTTAGAAAAAAACATCAATCATTGGCCGCTTTAAAGACAAACAAACGCGCAAGGTGCTCGAGGCGGTCACCATCTTGAGCCTGACCGATCGCTGCGTTAGCCAGCCGTCGGTTGCTTTGAGCGAAAAAGAAGTTGCCTTCTTGCGATCATTTGACTGCGTATGATCTGTTTTTCCCCCAGGATAGCTAGGTTCGACATTGTACATGTTCCTTTTTTTAGTACACGGAAGTGACGTCATCACGTCTGATTGGTTGGAAGCAAAAGTGACGTAATTTCCCTAGAAAAATGTGGGCGGAGTCGGCAAAACGGGGCGGAGTCGGCTACCGGACGTGACAACAAAACGACGTTTCGTTTTGTACCGAGTACGTTTCAAAAGGTACTTGCTCGGACCTAGGTGTCATTGGCAGCATGTTTTCGGCGGCGAGGCGTCGCCGTCTCGTCAATTCGACTTTTTCTTTAATAGAGCTTTTTTTTCGCCGGAAAGGCTGTATCGGGAACACCGCGATGCATTCGAGCTCCCGGAGGAGATCTTTCGGAAGCAATACCGCCTGCCCAAGATCGTGGTGCGGTGGTTGTGCGACGAACTTCGCGAGGAACCGGAGGTGAGGAGAGTGCGTACCTCGTGGACGGTCATGACTGTGGAGCTTCAAGTGTTGTGTGCACTGCGCTTCTACGGCACGGGGAGCTTCCAAGGCATGGTGGAGAGCGACGAACACGTAGCGCGGGACCAAAAGACAGTCAGCGCTGCGGTCCGCGCCGTGTCCGTCGCTATCGTGCGTCGTCTCGGGGTCCAGCGTGGCTGGATCCACTTCCTCGAGACGCCGAGCGAGAGGTTCGACGCGGAGAAGGGCTTCAGGCTGCTCGGCAGGATACCCGGCGTCATCGGTTGCGTGGACGGGACCATGGTCTCCATCGTCGGCCCGTCCAAGAACGACCCCACCGTCAAGAAGGCGGCGTACTGGTGCCGCAAGGACTTCTACGCCCTCAACGTGATGGTGGTAAGTACACTCATGTTACGTTGTCAAAACGCGCCCCAAATCTCTAGAAAAAAAAAAAAAAAAACGTATTGCCGATGCGGTTTAAGTATGCCGTTTTATGACTGCGGGCTGTGGGGTCTGACGACTGCGCGAGCGTGTGCTCTACGTAGCATGTGAGCCGTGAGACGCTTCTCCCAAAAATATTACTTGTCTGTTAAAACGTGCAAGCTTCCGTAAAAAAACAAAAAAAAACAACATTATTTTTGTTTCAAGGTAGTTAGTTGTACCTTGCATCCAGGAAGGTGTGTTGACATGCATGTGTCAGACAAAATAACTTAAAAGGTTCTGAAATTGCGACTGCTTTGTGAACCATAAGTACAATCTACTACTTGTGGATTCAGGTAATTACATGTCAATATCTCTCTCACTTTCAGCTGTGTGACGCCGACTGCCGGATAATGTGCATCGACCCACGGTATCCCGGGTCGGTGCACGACTCCTTCGTGTGGCAATTTTCCTGGCTCCGAAACCAACTCGAGCAAGGGCAGCTGCCACGCGACGGCCGGTTCCTGCTTGGTGAGCATACTAAATTCATTCCTTACGCACACGGTGGCTCCCACTGCTTGAAAGCCACAGTACCACACGTACTGTGCTTGTTGTGAGGCACACAGACACAGTTGCTGGAACTCCTTGAAGTGAGACAACACCCAAAGTTTGGCCATTAATCTCTGTTTATGTCCACATAACTCTCACACTCTGCAGGCTACGAAAGCCACACTACACCAATCTCACGACAGTGATAG